TCCTCGTTTCTCCTCCTCTCTCCTCTGAAGGTATTATTTCCACCTCTGTTCAGGATATCTTCTGCTCCTCTCTGCTTCTTGTGACTCTTCCCCGGAAAGCTCATTGCTGTTGATTCTTTCTCTTCCATAAAATGCCCTCAAGTCTCCCTTATCTTCGAAAATCAATCACTCCATTGAGCTTATTACTGTCTTATCTGCTACTCTATCTTCTTTACCCCTCAGAAAGAGGCTCCTTGAAAGACTTGTTTTACACTTGCTGACTATGGTAGGCAGGATAATCATCCTTTAAAGATATCTGCAACCTAATCCCTGAAATAGGTAATATGTTATTTTACATTAAGGTTGTGATGAAATTGAGGTTGCAAATCAGCTGACTTTAAGATAAGGCGATTATCCTGTGTTATTCAGATGGCCCAATGTAATCACAAGGGTTTCTCAAACTCAGAAGAGGAAGGAAAAAATGTCAGGGTCAGAGGGATGTGATGTGACCAAGACTCAACAACTACTGCTGGTTTTAATGATAGAAGAGCATCGTAAGCCAAGGAATGCAGCCAACTTCAAGAAGCTGGAGAAGGCAAGAAAATGATTCTTCCTTAGAGCTTCCAGAAAGAAACACAGCTTTACTAACACTCTGACTTTAGCTCACGTAGATTCCTTGCCAACGTCTGACCTCCAGAACTGTAAGATGATAAATATGTGTTGTATTAAGTCACTGTTTGTGGCAATTTGTTACAGCAGCAACACAAGCATTGAATTTAGTGTTTTACTTCCCATTCTACAATCTGTGAAATAAAGCTTTGACTTTTAACAGTTTTATTAGTCAAGCTTCTTTAGAGAAACAGAACCAATGGGATCTATCTATCTATCTATCTATCTATCTAATATATATATCTACATATATAAAGAGATTTATTACAAGGAATTGGCTCACATGATTATGGAGGTTGACAAGTCCTAAGATCTGCAATCTGGTAAGCCAGAAAATCCAAAGGTCTAGTTCCAGTCTCAGTTCAAAAGTCTGAGAATCAGGAGAGCCAATGATGTAGCTCCATTCTGAGAGCCAGTGGGCTCCGGACCTTGGAAGAGCCAAGGTTTCAGTTCAAATCTGACGGAAGAGAAAAAATAACCACTGACATCCCAGCTCAAGGCAGTCAGGAAAAAGGAATTTTCTTTTATTCAGCTCTTTTGTTCTCTTTAGGCCTCTAACAGATTAGAGGAGGCCCATCCACATTAGGAAAGGCAATTTGATTTAATCAGTCTACCAATTCAAATGTTAATCTCATCCAGAAACAACCTCACAAACACACTCATAATGTTTGAACAAATATCTGGGCACCCTGTGGCCCAACCAAGTTGACATCACAAAAATCAAGTAGAATTTCTCTCATCAAGGCCACCATCATTTATTTTGTTGTCATACCCAATGGACACTTTTCCAGTCTTTATCCTACCTGAGTAGGTAGGATATAACAGCATATAACATGCTTGGTCTTGATAAGCTTATCTCATTGATAAATATAATTCCCATCCTAAACACTGTATCCCAGTATATAAACCTACTTTAAGTCTTTCTTACATGTTTTCTTTCTCTTGAACCAGAAACTTTGTACTTACTGCTTGCTGTGCTTAAAACTTTCTCTTCAGCCTCGATCCCTGCTCAGTGATTCTTTTACCTGTATAAATCTCACCCATACTTCATTTTGCTAAAGTGAAATCTCCTTGAGGGAAATTATCTTGTGTTTTATCATTTTATTCCCAACACCTAGCACAGTCACTGATACAAAGTTGTTGAATTAATGGGAGAAAACCAGTAAACATGTCTTACTCTGGGGAAAAGTAGAATAAAAATTAATGAGCTTAGTCTGGGCATGGTAGCTCACACCTGCAATCTCAGCACTTTAGGAGGCAGAGGCAGATGGCTCACTTGAGGTCAGGAGTTTGAGACCAGCCTGGCCAACATGGTGAAGCCCTGTCTCTACTACAAATACAAAAATTAGCACACACCAGTAATCCCAGCTACTCAGGAAGCTGAGTCAGGAGAATTGCTTTAACCCAGGAGGCAGAGATTACAGTGAGCCGAGATGGTGCCACTGCACTCCAGCCTGGGTGACAGAGTGAGACTCTGTCTCAAATATATCTATATATAAATATAGATATAGATATATAGATAAATGAGCTTATAACTAACAATTTCAGGTCAAGAACAGAATCAAAACATTATGAACAATTCCATGAATCATTTGGCTCAGTAATTTCTTTTGGCTTTAAGGGTAAGTGGATTATGAAGCACATTCAGGAACATTATTAGAAGAAAAACAGGAGATACCTGATTTTTTAAAAATCCAAAACCAAAGACATTCAAGAAGAGGAGAAAACACTCCATTATCTTAACAACTTTATTGAGATATAGTTCATTTACTATTCTATTCACCCATTTAAGGTGGTGCTTTTAGTATATTAACAAATATATGTAACAATCACCACAGTCAGCTTTAGAAGATATTTTAAATCACTTGGAAAAGAAACCATACCCTTTTGCTATCACTCCTCATCTCCCATTCCTGTCACCCCTGAGCAACAACTATCTACTTTCTGTATCTGTAGATTTCCCTATTTTGGACTTTCATGTGAATGAATCATATAATAAGTGGTCTTTTGTAACTGCCTTCTTTAATTTAAATATATATATTTTAAAGTCCATTCAAGTTGTAGCATGTAACAATACTCCAGTCTTTAATAGGGCCATTAATATTCTATTGTATGAACATTTCATTTATCCATTCATCAGATAATAGATATTTGGATTGGCTTTGCCTTTTGGCTATTATTAGTAATGCTGCTATAAACATTTGTGCATAAGTTTTTGTGCGGATATACATTTTTATTTCTTTGGGAGTGGAATATAATGGACCACATGGCAACTCTGTGTTTAATTATTTAGGGAACTGCAAGACTGTTTTCCAAAGTGGCAGTACCAGTTTGCATTCCTACTAGCAGTATATGAGGACTCTGATTTTTCCATATCCTCACCAAAACCAGTCATTATTTGAATTTTTGATTTAGTCATCACAGTGGGTATCTCCTTGCGTTTTTGCTTTGCATTTGTCTGATGACTAACGGTGTTGAGTAAACTTTCTTGTGCTTATTGACCATTTTATATCTTCCCTGGAGAAATTTCTATTTAGATCCTTCTCCCACTTATAAGTTAGTTTATTCATTTTTTTACTATTGAGTTGTAGGAGTTCTTTATGTATTCTAATTACACTTTCTTTATCAGGTATATGATTTGTAATTTTCTCCCTATTCTGTGCGTTGTCTTTTCCACATTCTTGATGCTATCCTTTAAGCATAGAAGTTTTTAATCTGATGAAATCCAATTTATCTATTTTTTCTTTTGATGCTCATTCTTCTGGTGTGATGTCTGAGAACTCTTTGCCAAATTCAAAGTCGTGAAGATTTACTCTTGTATTTTCTTCGAAGAATTCTATTGTTTTACCTCTTTTGTTTAGGTCTTTGATACATTTTGAGATTTAATTTTAGTAATGGTATAAGTTAAAAGTCCAACTTCAGTCTTTTGCATATGGTTATGTAATTATTTCAGAACCATTTGTTGAAATTTATACATAAGGGTTTATTTCTGGACTCTGTTCCATTGGTCTGTATGTCTGTCCTTTTGCCAATATGACACTATCTTGATTACCATTGCTTTATACTAACTTTTGAAACTGGAAAGTGTGAGAGTTCTTACTTTGTTCTTCTTTTTCAAGATTATTTTTGTATTTGGGGTCTCTGTGTGAATTTTGGAATCAGCTTGCCAATTTCTGAGTCAGCTGAAATTCAGATAGGGATTATATCAAATTTATGGATCAATTTGGGGAGTATTGACAGTCTAACACTGTCAACTCTTCCCATCCATAAATATGGAATGATTTTTCATTTATTTACATCTTCTTTAATTTATTTTAACAATATTTTGTAGCTTTCAGAGTATAAGTTCTATATGCATTTTGTTAATTTTATTTTTAAGTACTTCATCCATTTTGATGCTATTGTCAATGAAACTTTCTTTTCGTATTCAGAAATTTTTACTGTTAGTAAAAATTACAATAGAAATCTAATTGATTATTGCATTTCATCTTGTATCCTGCAAATACTCTAAACTCTTTTTTGATTCTTCTTTCTTTTAGTGGATTTCTTAAGCTTTTTATCTATGGGATTATATCTTCTGTGAATAGAGAGACTTTTACTTCTTCCTTTCCAATGTTTATGGAACATTGGATTCCATAATGTCAAGTCAATGAACACTTTGTTTTCATTTCATTTTCTTGCTTAATTACTCTGGCTGAAATCTCCAAAACAATATTGAATAAAAGTGATGACAGTGAATGTCTATGTTTTATTCTTGATCTTAGGGAAAACCTCCTTTCACCATTAAATACGTTTTTCCTGTGAGGTTTTTGATAGATGCCCTTTATCATGCTGAGGAAGTTCCATTCTTAGTTTGCTGAGTGTTTTTATCACAAAAGGGTGCTGGATTTTTTGATCAACTGCTTTTTCTGCATCTATGATATAATCATTTTATTTTTCTTTTCAATTCTAACTGGTATGCGATATATTGCATTAATTTATTTTTTGATATTAAATCAACCCTGCATTGAGGGAATAAATTACACTTATTCATGGTTTATAATTCTTTTTATATGTTGCTGGATGTAGTTTGCTAGTATTTTATTAGGATTTTTGCAACCGTATTCTAAGAATTCTTGATCTGTAGTTTTTCTTTCTTGTAATATCTTTGGTTTTAGTATCAGGGTCATACTGGGCTTATAAAATGAATTAAGAATTGTTTTCTCCTCTTCTACTTTTTGGAAGAATTAGTAAATAATGAGCGTTACTTCTATATCAATAATTATTTTTTAAAAATTTACCATTGAAGCCATCCATCTTTGCTTGGGCTTTCCTTTATGGGTAAGTTTTGATTACCAGTTCAGGCTCTTTACTTGTTATAGGTCCATTCAGATTGTCTATTTCTTCTTGAGTTTGTTTTAGTGATTTTCTTCTTTCTAAGAATTTGTCCATTCCATCTAAATTATCTAATTAGTTGGCATACAATTGTTCATATATTCCTTTATAATCCTTTTTATCTCTATAAGGTCAGTCCTCATGTCTCTTTTTCATTTCTGAGTCTTGTAATTTGAGTCTATTCTCTCTCTTTCTCTTTGTGTGTGTGTGAATCTAGCTAAAAATCACTCAATTTTGCTGATCTTTACAAAGAACCACACTTTGGTTTTATTGGCTTTCTCAATTTTTCATCTCTTCTTTATTTCATTCTTCTACTTTCATCTTCATTATTTCCTTTAAAACAATCTTGCTTTAGATATAATTTACTCTTCTTTTCCTTGTATTGGTGTAATTTTTAAATTTGAGATCTTTCTTCTTTCTTAAAATAGGCATTTATGGCCAGACATTTTCCTTTAAGCACTGTTTTACCTGCATTTCATAATTTTTTATATGCTGTGTTTTTATTTTCATTCACTCAAAGTATTTTATTTCCCTCTTGATTTTTTTCTTGACCTATTGGATATTTATGTGCATTGTTTAATTTCTGCACATTCATTAATTTTCCAGTGTTCTTTCTGCTATTGGTTTCTAATTTCATTTCATTGTGGTCAGAGTACACTTTGTTTATATTATTCTTTTAAATTCATTAAGGTTCGTTTTATAGCCTAGCATATGGTCTATCTTGAAGAATGTTCTGTGTGCTCTTGAGAACAATGCACACGCTGTGCTGGGTGGAATATGCTATTGCTTTCTATTAGCTTTAGTTGACCATCTTCAAAATGGAATACTAATCTTTGCACTGCTTGTATTAAGTAGGTGATGCTTGAATCACACTTGATAATACATATAAAACAATTTTGTAATTGGACTGCTATACCAGTGGCTTTCAACTGGACATTATTTTGTCTCCAGCAATGGTTTGAATGTCTCTCCCACAGTTTCTGTGTTGAAAACTTAATCCCTAATGCAACAGTGTGGAGAAGTGGGACTTCTAAGCGGTGAATATGAACTCTGCCACCGTGAATAAATTAATACTGTTATTGTGGGAGTGAGTTCAGTATCGAGAGATTGGAGTTCTTATAATGCATGAGTTTTGCCCCCTTCTTTCTCTGTCTTGACATGTGATGCCTTTCTCCATGTTATGATACAGCAAGAAGGCCCTCATCATGTTTGACTTTTTGATCTTGAACTCCTTAGCCTGAAGAACTATGAGCCAAAAATTTCTGTCCTTCGTATATTAACCAGCCTCAAATATTCTGCTATAGCAGCACAATATAGACTAAGACACCACCTAAGTGACAACTGGCAATGCCTGAAGACGTTTTTGATCATCACAACTGGAAAGGTGCTACTGGCATCTAGTGGGTAGAAGCCAGGACTGCTGCTAAATATTCCACAAGTCACAGGACACCCCTCTAAATTGTATGGTCTAAAATGTCAATAGTGCCAGTGTTAAAAAAAACTCCACACTATACATGGGCAACCCAGCAGTTGCAGAATAAATGGTAAGAGGAGATACAGGTAATGTTTATAAACTCATGGACAGCATAGTTAAAGGGAACTTAGATTTAGTCTCAATTCATGAATATCTTTCTTTCTTTTTTTTTTTTTTTTTTTTTTGAGATGGAGTTTTACTCTTGTTTCCCAGGCTGGAGTGCAATGGTGCGATCTCAGCTTACCACAACCTCCACCTCCGGGGTTCCAGCGATTCTCCTGCCTCAGCCTCTTGAGTAGCTGGGATTACAGGCATGCACCACCACGCCTGGCTAATTTTGTATTTTTGGTAGAGATGGGGTTTCTCCATGTTGGTCAGGCTGGTCTTGAACTCCTGACCTCAGGTGATCTGCCTGCCTTGGCCTTTCAAAGTGCTGGGATTAGAGGCATGAGCCACCATATCCAGCCAATTCATTACTATCTTAAGCAAGGATATATCCATTTAACTTGAAAAAAGTAAGTTGAAAAATGTATATACGGGTAGGTTTTACACTATACATGCAATCACATTTTTAAAAAATGTGTGCAAAATAAAAATTCTAGGACCTCCATATTTCCATAAAATTGGTATAATAGTAGTTAAAATAATTGGAAAAAAGAAAGCTTATATTTAGATTCTCATAATAAAAATATGTATAAAACTATGTAAGTAAAAATTTTTAAATTAACCAGTACATTAGAAAGAAACATAAGACTTATTTATCTGGAAAGAAGAATAATTTTTAGCTCAAAGCAGAAAATTCAGTTTGAAAGAGGAAGATAGGTGTTTTGCAACCTGAAGAGTAAAGGTTTTCTAGTTCAAAAGACATAAACAGCCTTCTAAAGCAAACAACATGGGTAAGATACATGAGAAAGACAACTTCTACCATGTTATACTACCAAACAAACTTACTAAAAATGCACTTGTTAACATTTTATGTTTTTCTAGAAAAGATGGATCTAGCTTTAAAAACTGGTAAATTATTTGAACCTAAAGGTACCTCCGTGTTGGATTTCTGTGAGTTCGGGGGAAGATATTTCTTTTCTGTTTATTAGAGAAAACCAAAGATGTTTTATAGGGCACCTTTGACTTTTTGTAATGAGACACTGAAAACTACTTCAGATCTACCCCAATTTTTTTTTTTATCACTTAGAGTCCCCCAAATAGAATGTAGTTCTAAACAAGTACAACATTTGGATGTCATTATTGCTGTGATTATTCTGAAACTTCTGAGTTTGCAATATGTAACCTCACATCTGATTTACTCTTACATGTATCCTGAGAGGACGTAAACACAATCACAGGAAAATGACAATTTCCATTACTAAGCTCTATCTCTGGTACATTCATTTTAGTCAAACTTCTAACTTAGCTAAGTCTTTCAGGAGCTTTAATGTTTTCAAAAGCTCCTTAGAGAATCTTTCAAGTAAAGGAGACTTAGAGTCACACATTGTGAGGCTGAACAGTCAATGGGAATGCAGATAATAAGAACTTAGCAAACCATTAGCATGCAGCTGCTTCACTTCTTAGAGAATAATTTTTCGTACAAGTAGACCGCATTCTTTCTGGGCTGCATTTACTGCAGAACACCTCAGGAAAAGGCACCATTTGCAAGATTTTTAGTAGAATGGGCCATTCTCGGAACTTTTCAAATAGCTCACCCTCAGTCTTAAATGTGATAAAGATCCCTGAATTTCATGGGATTCTTTTTTTTTTATGACAGGCTGCTAATCACCCTTGATCCTATGATAAATTTAAATACTAACTAATCCACTTTGAATAGGGATTAAGCTTCAATGTAGGAGGAAAGTGTTCATTAGAATTCATTATATCAATTTGTAATTTGAATGATGCATCTTCTAAATAAGATACTGCGTTTCTAGTCATTGTTAACTGAGAGCTTAAACATCCTTATCATTAATTAATGGAAAGAGAAATAAAATCTGTAACAATTGAGGGAATGCTTACTCCCTACCTTTCTTAGCTTCCTAATATACCTAGCTATTATTTTTAAGATGAACAATGCCAAAATAGAATAATCACCATGGTAGAAGGAAAACATAACAAACTCAAGTTTATGTCAAGGATAATTTGATGTACATGAAAAATGGAATACATATTGCAGATTTTCTTATTTTGATGTATGCTTTATTCATGTTGAGCTCATTGTTGTCAAATTATCTTACAAATTCAACATGGAAATCAGATCAGATAATCATTTATCACTGTCTTACATTCTTCATATTTGGAATAAAAACATCTAATACCACTGAGCTAAAGTTGAGTCATAGCTCCCAAATCTAAGTAATATTTTATTCCAAGTAATTGCTATTATAGTACAATAATTTAAATTTTGATCTTAAGATATTTAAGTCATGAAATCAGAATGAATTAGACATTCATCTTTCTCTCTCCTTAAAAAAAGTAAAGACGTCTGTAAGCAGTCATTTGCGAACTTAATGAAGAATATAAATTTCTGGGGCCTCAGTACTTAAGATAAGTACTTCATTCAATTTAAAACATTAAATCATGACTTAAACACAGTGAATTGTTCTTAAATTTTAATGCTATACTTGTGTAGAATGTCATAAAACTTGATGTTAAGAATTTGTGTTCTGCTGAATTCGGTGGCTTTTTAAAAGTAATTTTATCAAGATTGATAGGAATATAATAGGGAACACTTGCGCCACACTTGATGTGTGCCAGGTGCTAGTGCTTCATGCAAATTAATTATTTTAGTCCCCATAACAGCCTCGTAATGCAGGTACTATTAGAAATACCATTTTGTAGGTGGTGAACATAAGGCTAGAGATTGAATGTGTCCAAGCTCACACAAAGGGTTAATGAGGGAGCTGGGATTCAAATTTGGGTAATGTGGCACCAGAGTCCACGCTTCCACATATTCTGTTGTATGTACAGTTTGTTGGATGCTCCATGTCTCTGGTATGTTTTAGTCAATCTTCAAACTTAGCTAAGTCTTTCATGTCCTCCCAATGATCTACTTCTTATGTACTTGGACATGTAGTCTGGCTTCCATAACAGAATAATCTCCTAGTCCTCTTCTTCAGCTCATGATTTAATTTTTTTAAGCTTGTTTCTTGAAAGGAGCCCAATCCACTTTCGTAACCCTGAAGCTGCTCTGGTGAAAAGTGCCATCATTCCAGGCAATTTCCAGAAAATTTATTCAATTCCTCTATTTATCACTTTACTCTTCACTTTCTTTTTACTGCCAGTTGGGTCCTGACCTCCCAGCATCATAGAACTGGTGGTAAATTTTGACTTCTCTGGTTTTTAACCCTAAGTCTTTCACAGACGACAGCTTGTATATTATTTCCTTCATTTTCTGCTGCTCATCTTATATATCACTTTATTCCCTGTATCTTCCTCAGTTTATATTATTCCTGTGTTAATGAAAATTGAATTGTGTAGTGGCAATGATATACTCTGAAATTTCTGTGCCTTAACGTAATAAAGCCTAAGTTTCACTAAGTGTGTTTGTTCACTAAGTTTGTAGATTTGGGGACCTCCCATTTCTGGGCCATTATGGAATCTGAATGTAAAGAAGCTCCAGAGGAATGAAATATACCAAATTTTGCAAACCACTAGTGTAGTTCACTCATATTTACTAGACTTGCATATGTAAAGCTGTGCTGCCAGGAGCAGGTGGTGTCCAAGGGGAAAATAATATGATTGATATAAGCTGATTCTTAACTGCCTTAACCTCCAGGTGACACATGTTCTGGTTGAAACTAGTTTATTGATACAACTTAAGTGAGAGTCTGGAAGGGAAGCAGAGGGGACCACATAGAATATCTGGTGAGCATTGCTGATCTTTCCCACAATATACTAAGACTACTAAGACCTCAATAATTTTTTTCTGTATAAATTATCAAATAATCTTTTTATCCTGTCCTGTAAATAAATTTATAAACTGCTTAAACAATTTTCTCTTGTACTACTGACATGTAGTAAAGATGACCTTATATCAGTGAAAGCCTAGAGTACAGGAATATTTTTAATACTAATAATGATATTTTGCTATATTAGTAATGGACATTAACAGATTCAAAGTCAGGCAATAAAGGTGACATTTAATTAGGTCCATGAGGACATGAAAAAAAAAATTAAAAAGAATAAAATACCTAATTTTACCACTGTGTTGTATGTCCTATCTTCCATAAATTTTACAAAGTGGAGCATATATATCAAGGAAATTTCTGTAAGAGTGTATTACAGACCAAAACAACTAAACTATGTTATTGTCTTGGTGTTGTAGGGGGTCTCTTATGTATAGAATTCTGAGGTAGGCAAGCTGTAGCTGATTGTCCAGACTTCTATAATGGTTTTTCAAAGAACAGAAGAAACATTTCAGTTTGAAAGCCCTTTGTAAATAGGTAAAACTGTAAGTATGCATATTTGTTTGTAACTTTATAAGATAATGAGAGTGCAAATATGAGATTATTTCTTGTGAGAAGGTGAATAAGTCCTCATGGAGATTGATCATAGAAAAGAGCAAAACTATTTTGTTTTAACCTGGTCAAAGACAGCTGCCTTATAAAATGAATGAGATCTCCAACTTGAAATCTCCTTTATGTGACTCAGTCTTCTCTAAATGTCTAAAATCCTTATGTTGTGCCTTTCCTCTGAGATCCTCAAATTTATACTGTCCACTACACAAATGTTCTATATGGTTGGACTTTCAGGTTAAATGATGCCGCCAGCCAAAAGTATAATTTCTACTTCCATGGCCACATCAAGCGAAACAAAATACTAGATACTGGATAGGAAGAAAAATTAATTTAATTATAGATTATTGGCACTTGCTGTAAGGAGAAAATAGCTTAAATTGATCAATCACTTGCCTATATTTCTTCAAATTATATAGACTGCTTCGAAGACAATTTAATGAACTATTAATAATTGCAAAACTGTTAATTCATAGTAAGAAAAAATAATAAAAATAAGCTTTAATGTTTTGACTTTCTTTGTCTTTTATTTTTATGTTTTATTTTCCAAGATGAACTTCTGATCAAATTGGTCTTTATTATTTGG